CTTTTTTCTAACATATGCCTCATGTTCTTTGACGCGAAATTTTTAAGGCTCTCTTAGTTTGGCCAATGTAAATTAAACCACACTGGCAAGGAATCCTATAAATACCCCAGGAATTCATATCCGGAATGGGGTCCTTGAGTATAGAAGTTGGCATTTTATTGATGGGAGAATAAACAACCCGAAAGTTAAATTTTCTGCAAAATATGTGCAACTTTATAGCTAATTGATGGAAAGAAGGGAATGACAACAGAATTTTTATAATCTCCTAAAATAAGAGTGTGGCTTTTTGTGTGTGTTGAGATGAAAATTTTTTTAACTGCTTGATTAATAATGTTGGGTGAAAACTCCCCTGTCAATAGCTATTGCTTTTAAATAATTTAGTTCTTCATCAAGGGCTAGTTTGGAGGAGCAAACTTGAAGAGCACGGAAAACATAGGAATAAAATGAAGCTAACTTTTGTTTAGTTGGATGACATGATTTAAAGTGTGGTGGAAGGCAAACCGATGAAGGTTTACGGTAAACTGTAGTACTGAAGTTGGATGTGTTACGTGTGACCAGAATGTCGAGAAACGGAAGAGAATTGGAAGTCTCAAGTTCAAAAGTGAACTGAATAGCAGGATCAATAGAATTCATTGTTGAAAGAACTTTATTTAAATCATCTTTGTTACCTTCAAACAGGGTAAAAGTATCGTCTACGTAGCGGAACCATGCCGGGAAGTTTTAAGTTTCAAACAATTTTGATTCATAATAATGCATGTAGATATCAGCCAGGATGGGACTGAGGGGGCTTCCCATGGCTAATCCCTCAGTTTGCTTGTAATATTTATTTTGGAAAACAAAATGTGTTTGTTTTGGAAAAGATGATTTAAATAAAGTTCTTTCAACAATGAATTCTATTGATCCTGCTATTCAGTTCACTTTTGAACTTGAGACTTCCAATTCTCTTCCGTTTCTCGACATTCTGGTCACACGTAACACATCCAACTTCAGTACTACAGTTTACCGTAAACCTTCATCGGTTTGCCTTCCACCACACTTTAAATCATGTCATCCAACTAAACAAAAGTTAGCTTCATTTTATTCCTATGTTTTACGTGCTCTTCAAGTTTGCTCCTCCAAACTAGCCCTTGATGAAGAACTAAATTATTTAAAAGCAATAGCTATTGACAGGGGCTTTTCACCCAACATTATTAATCAAGCAGTTAAAAATTTTCATCTCAACACCAAAAAGCCACACTCTTATTTTAGGAGATTATAAAAATTCTGTGTCATTCCCTTCTTTCCATCAATTAGCTATAAAGTTGCACATATTTTGCAGAAATTTAACTTTCGGGTTGTTTATTCTCCCATCAATAAAATGCCAACTTCTATACTCAAGGACCCCATTCCGGATATGAATTCCTGGGGTATTTATAGGATTCCTTGCCAGTGTGGTTTAATTTACATTGGCCAAACTAAGAGAGCCTTAAAATTTCGCGTCAAAGAACATGAGGCATATGTTAGAAAAAAGGAAACACAGAAGTCTTCTGTTGCTCAACATTGTTGGTCCGAAAATCACACTTTCAATTTTTCTGCTGCCAAAATTATTCAAAAAACATCTTCCATTGGAGAACTAGATTTTCTAGAGGCATTTCACATTCATAAAAATCTTTCTGTTCTAGTTAACGATCCTAATTCCAATCCAAATTTGCCTTCGGCTTTTAGAGAAATTATGTTTTAGTTCTGGTTTCTCCAACAGATGGCGCCACTTGCTTATTCTTGTCCAGGCTTTCTTATCTTATCTAATCATTATTTCCTATCTTGTTCATTTGCGGTTTTCCAGCTGAAGATGATGGTTCGGTAAAACCATCGAAACTAGTCCTGTGAAAATTTTGTAAATTAACGCTGATTTTTGTTGTTTGACTTCTGAATTAACATATGCACATTGTCAAGATAAGTATTACGTAAGTTCTAACTTAAAATCACTTACACACATATACTTACATATCGTTCAAGTAAAACCATCTCTGTGCCAGCAATACTAAGGTTCGCACAAAGTCCTTATAACAGACAAAACTTTCGTGATTGAAATATACGGCCCTAAATCTACTGGGTCTATAGTCCGTGTAAAACCGGCCTATTTGCTTTCTGACTCTGATCTGCCTAAACTGAAACCCTACAGAGACTTAAAGACAGTTCAACAGAATAAGTCTGATCTAATGAACTCTAAAACACGAACTGTCAGAAGATCGGGAAGGCATGTTCACTACCCAAAAAAATTAGCTTCGTACATTTCATTTTTATGTATGTGCATTATTACCTTGTCATACGCTGAATCACATTTCAATCTCTTCTAATTTTATACCCTAATTTTGTTATTAAGGGGGGGGACTCAACAACATGGATCCTCAAATATTTCATAATCTGACGCTGGGAGGGAAACCCTGGTGATAGCAATAAGAAGGGCACCTTGCACCCAAACGTCTGCTGATAAATACAGCAACCCTAAGAAGTTTTTGGAGAAGCATGGAGGAAGAACAGAGACCAACTGTTGAGGAGTACTATGCATATCTGGTCCTGAAATAAAGATAAATTTTTATTGTGTATTATGTCTGGTTAAAGTTTTGATTAATGCAGTGAGAATATTTAATGCGATATGAACAACGAGGATCGCATGGATACCACTATGATTTCAACAATATAATGGGAGTAATAATAATTTTGTAAATTAATTTAATAATGTTACTGTTCAGTGCTAAAGACTCAGATGAGAAATTTTTTTTATAATGCATCAGAACAGAAATAGTTCTTATATATATAATATATATATATATAATATAATTAAAATGTTCTTTAAAATTCAATTTACAACCGAAAAACATGAAGATACGTAAGGTCCTCAAAACATTTAATTCTAACACACTTTTATATTTTAGTTCTGCTGGTCTAGTTTTTTTCCCACACTCTGGGTAAAACAAGAAATTAGTTTTTTGTAAATTTAATCTCAGTTTCTTCTTTTTAATCCACATTCTTAGATCTTCTAAAGCAAATGAAAATAGTTAATCTAATTTCAAATGTCATAAGCATAACATATAATTCTTATAACATCTGGACAGTCTTTCTTTAACAATCCATATATTTCAGTGTACCAGATACCATATATCCTGCACTGCAAGAACCCTGCAGTATCGAATATATGTTATCAGTAAGATATGTTTTAGCATATACGGAAAGTGTCTGTAATACAATTGCACCAACTGAATGGTTAATATTAATACACTGGTTTTTTGTCATGAAATGAATATCAAAATTTAGCCCTTTATATGCTTTATTACACATTTTGATGGAGATAAGTCCCCCCCTCCAAAAAAAATACTCTCTATCCGGTAAAATTAAAATTCAGTGGGCTTATATTTTTATTTTGAAAATTTCAATATTTTGCAGTGATCTTCCTATCTTGGTCTGTTTATGTGTCTATCGCAGTAAATCAGGTACCTAAGCCAAATGAAATACACATAATAATAAGGTTAAAAATAATACCACATACAGCAACATTATTCCTGTACTAACTTTAATGCATTAGTTCATCTTTTTATGTGAGAGTCTAACTGTTGATCTAAATCTGCCATTACTTTATTCTTAAGAAAATTTAAACTTAGAACGTACACATAATTTTGTAACATGTTTTGCTTGTGATACCATTATATTGCATAGGTGCAACCAACATCCTGATACTCCTAAATTCTGAAAATTTCATTTTTCAGCACACAGATCTTGGTTTCTACAATTTCATTGCAAATACTCGTTACTTATGTTTTAATGGTATGTACCAATTATGTTACTTTGATTATTGTGGATACCCGATTCTTTGATATTCTCATCATAATAATAATGATTTGAGAATCAAAATCATGCTCAAGTAAGCGTTTTGCTTCGGCTTTTCCTAATCACATGCATAGAACTTGTATAAGGATTTGTACTCTATTTGCTAGAACTATCTTTTGATATATAGAAATCAACTCAGAAATTGATTCTACAATTTACGAACAACAGAAAAGATTGTAACCAGTCATCATGGCACATCTGAATTACCCTAGAATACTTCAAGATGGCCAGTACCACTCCATTATTTAACAAATAATGTATCAAAATCTTGCTTATAAGATGGTTTATTTATTTATTTATTTATTTATTTATTATCTATATTAAGAATCAAAAAACACTTTCCAAAACAACTATTCTTATGTTACTATTCATTTACATAAATTGATGAAACTTCAATTAAATTTCATACGAATATACGAGGAATATTCGTTTAGTGGTTATAAAATCAAATTTTCTCATTATTTCTTAATTAGTGTAAACTATGACATTAACAATATGTAATATAGTATTTTATTACGTATGGTACTCACATACTTACCTATCAACTTTGAAAGTTGACACAAATCCTACCAAACTTGTGCCTATCATTCCAGCAAATGTCTGAAGGAAGAAATGGCTCTTTAATTAGTTATTGAACACAAGGTATGGATACAGCATACAGGAAATGTAAACAAATATGAGCTCAAACTTGCACCAATCATTTTGGTAGAAGTTGGGAAGGAACAGATTGCTCTTTAACTAGTTAAGTTATGGAATTAAAAGATATGAATTGTGCTTAATGCATACATTTTTTTATGCTAGGATTCTATAATTCTGACAAAGCCTTTCTCCAAAGAAGGCAGGATCCAAATTTTCAACATTTTTTCAAAATGCATAGAATTAGCAGTTTATTTAATTTTCATAAAAAGTGATCTGGCTTCTTATTCAGTGTTACATAAAACCAAGGCAAAGATCTTATGAAAGTACTGTAGTGTCATGCTTAAAAAAGAAAAAAATCACACTGTTTTTGTTTTTGAAAATGGTCCATGGAAAAGTATGTAAGTACCTTACATATAATAAGATTACATAAATTAATATTTCTGAATAATTAAAAATACAGTATTGGCATTTTCTTAAAAATAAATAATTTTCCTTACAACTCTAGCACTTCTTTCTTGAGATTCACATTTTCTACAAAACCAAGGCCCAGTAGGTACTTGAACTATACCATAACATGCTGAAAATTAAGAAATAGCAATAAATCTATCGCAGACCATTCAAGAACAGTTAAAATACTTATGAAATTCGAAAAATTTAATAAAGATTAACATAACATGCTGAAAATTAAGAAATAGTAATACATATATTGCAGATTATTAAAGAACACTTAAAATACTTACAAAATTATGAATTTCGAAACAATTAATAAAGGTCAACATATATCAGATATAAATTACAGTTAATAAATAAATTAAATTACTCTTAATAAATTACAGTCAAAAGTCTTTAATCTAGACTCGTTGGGACTCCGGATTATCGATCATCAGTTTAAATCTGGTAAGATGGCATGCAGAAATTATAAAATTAAAAATATGAAACCGTAATTTATAAAATAATGAGCAATTATGATCTAAAGGGTATCAAAATTTACAAAAAAAAAAAAAAAAGCTTAATATTTATTTGTTTACTTTATTAAACATTTCTTTCAACGCGCGCATGTGTAATACATTACGCATAGCCGAAATTAGAAAATTGCAACCAGAAAACTATTTGATTTGTATTCGTGATATTTATAATGACGAGGAATTTGAATTTGATTTAAATCATATCAAAGACGGAGTACATCGAGATGAAATACTACATTTAGTAAGGAATTATAAGCCGAATAAAATAAAAACATCTGCCCTGAAGATAACGATAGTGCTGACAGATCAACTTCCAGTTCATTGCACGCCACAGTCTTTTTGTTGGTGAAACATTAGGGTTATCTACATCTTCTAAAAAATCTCTCAATTCTAACAATTTCTTTATCATTAAATATGTACTTCAATATCGCATTGCTTGATCAATAATTGTTCCCTTTCCTACTCGCTAAGAATGGCATCAATTTTAGAAGTTCTTGCTGCTTTTGCTGTTTACCTAAATTTACCAGTGAGATTTGCAACTAAATGAATCAGTTTAATCACTAATGGCAAATATCACATCTATCCTCCCTCCTTAAATTTATTTGTTAATATGTCAATAAAATAGAGAAAATAACTATTTATTAATGTATATAGTCCATAAATAAGAATAATAACTCAGCTTGTTATTAATTTTTTCAATTTATTTTAATTTCATTTCAAATTCAACTGTCCAACAAAAACTGGAGTCGGAGTCGACCTGTTTTTAGCAACTCCAGCTCCGACTCCTTTTACGCCAAAATCTGTGCGACACCGGTTCCAACTTCATGACTCCGACTCTACAGCCCTGGGTACAATAATATGGTATACGTTTATATATTACGTAGTTAATCAAAATTAAACCTTAGACTGCCATTACTTTTAGAGAAATGCTCAAAAGAATCTAGCACATCTCTCTTTTCCATTACACCAAATTTCACGACTTAAAGAAAATGAAATTAAAAAGAAAAAATTCTGACATCATCTATCAAATGAACTCTAAGAGTAAAATGGAAAAAAATAAATAAATAAAATAAAATAACAGAAAAGGCTTTTAAGTCCTTCTAAAGAATTGAATAATTCTTATTTCGAATGTGTTATGTACAAACCAATAGACCTAGTGACCATACTAATATTTTTGGCAGCACTGGGATCAACAATAGTTTGGCGATTTTTTACGACCCTCAAAACTGAATAGTACCGAAAAAAGAAAAAGGAACTTTTTGAATTTTTTGTATATTCCGACACCCTACTCGCAATGAATAGCAGAAAAATTCTTCATTATGCTAAAAGTGACGATCATGACAAGGTGATGATTGAATGGATCAGACAACACAGAAAAGGCTCCAACTGGTGTTCCAAAGATTCCAAAGAGAGTCTAACAATTTTAGGGTGTGCAAATGCTGCAGGAACGCTCGAGTGCAAACTTTTCATAATCGTAAAAAATACACAAACTCGAGCATTTAAAGGAGCAAAAATTTTCCCGGATATATACAGTGCTAATAATACAGCATGGATGACACGAGCATCAATGAATGATTGGTTTGAAAATTTGTTTATACTCGTCGCTCGGCAACATTTGAATTCGGTTGGTTTACCTAATGACGAAAAAATTATCCTAATTGAAGGAAACTATACGGCTCATACTTCACTTAAAGTTTTGGTGAAAGATAATGTATCCGTATTATTCTTTCCTCCAAATTGTACATCCATCATTCAGCCTACGGCTAGCAGAATAGTGCGCACGCTGAAATGCAAATATGAAGTAGCATTTTTAAAATCCATGTTAAATTTCTTGAACAATAGAAAGACTATTCAAGACTTTTTGAAATTTTTTAGATATAAAATCTACTGCTGTGTGCAGCATCACAAGATCGTGGGAGAATGTGTCTCTAAGATACGTTAAAAAATGCTTGGCATAATTTATGGCCAGCTACCATATTTCATCGTGAGGACAGTTGAAGATGTTAGCCGTGTTTTTGAAGGTTTTCGGACATTGCAAACTAAAGGTGAAATTTTCCAGTTATTGGATTTTGTAAAGAAATGTGGAGAAGCAGTAATACATGAAGATAATATAACAGAAGTTTTCCATTGCGATGACAATGACTCAATCATCAGTCAATTAACGGACGCCAAAATCTGTAGTATGGTTCTAGATCCAGAAAATACTGCTACCAATAGTAAAGAAAATGAAAGAGAGGTTATTGAGAATGAAACAATTTCGATCAACAAATTAGTCAGACTTTTTGACACAGCAATTACAGGACTTGAACAGTGAAACTTTGTAACTGAACAAGAAATTATGTCTGTTTATGGAATTAAAGAGAAAGCACAAAAAATGAAGCATCTTAAACAACTTACATTAGAAGAAATGTTTAATAAAGTAAACAAATATATATTAAGCTTTTTTTTCTAAATTTTGATACCCTTTAGATCCTAAATGCTCCTTATTTCATAAATCACAATTTCATATTTTTAACTGTATAATTTTTGCATGCCATCTTACTAGATTTAAACTGATGATCTAATACCCGGAAAAATCCCAAAACCGGAACTGCCGAAGTCCTGACGAGTCCGGATCTTGGATTTTGTACTGTGTACTGTGTAACTCCAAAGCACCAAGAATTCAGATTTTGTACAAAATCTTTAATAGCTGAATGATGAATTACAGAAAACTGCTTGAAAATTAAATTTGCAGAAATCCACACAATTTTTTCAACTGATAGAAGAAACACATGAGGTAAGAATGTCATAATTTAAATGCAAATATTATTTAAAATGAATATTTTTCATAAACTTTATAAATAATAGGGAACAAAAACCCTATTTTCAATACCTTTCAAATAACTGAATTGTGGACAAGAGAAGATTATGATGAACAAATGAATGAAAAATGTAAAAGATACAGAAAATTATTTTTCTGACTATCCAAAATGGCAGAAGGCAAAGAGAAAATGATTGCAATAAATTATTGAGCTAAAATTAACTGCACTGCCTTTTGTTATTATGTTGAGAAAAGGAAGAGCATCAAACTGCAAGAATAAACTGAACCTCCAGATCAATGAAATCATAACTAACAGAATACAGTATAGTCGATGATCCTGAATCATCAGAACTTATATATATTCTTCAGATTCATCAGAACAATTCTTCAGATCATCAGTTTAAATCTAGTCAGATGGCATGTAGACATGGCAACATTGGGGCTTTGCATATTGTTCAGATGAAATAAAAGAATGTTAACCCCTCAAAAAGAGATGGAACGAGACCTGCTGTGGCCACACAGGGTAGCTAAAAGTTTTAGAATTCAGAGGGGTACTTGAAGCAAAATTAAGGTCTCCCAAAGATTATAGTGTGCAGAAAAAATTTATAGCAGTGGCCTTACCTAACCCACAAATATTCAAGGGCCAAAATTATGATCCTCAGTGTGTCAGTACAACGTATCATAATTGGCAATCGTGCTACTCCCTAGCCAGCAGGTGTTTGAAAGTGACATGTTGGAATCTCAATTATTCGAGAGAAAAATTACATTTCCAGCATATCTACTTCCTTTAGTTGAGTATCCTTTAGTTCTGCATTCCTAGATGATTGTAAGGATTTTTTTAATATTTTATTTATTTATTTTGTGGCCCAATAGTCTGGAGATCTGGATTTCAGACATTTTGCTGCATACATTAACCCAGTGCTCTCAGATTCAAACTGCATGTGGTTGAATATAGATCAAATGTGCAATCTAAAAGAACAGTTAAAAGGGGCTAAATAGAAAAAAAATTATTTTTTTAAAAAGTTTTAAAACTGAATTTAAAATTTATGCACTAAATGTTTATCAAATCGCATATAAACAATAATAATAACGATGCAAAAGTTAAACAGTACTTTGGAGAGGGGCTTTCCAGGAAAAATGGCTAAAAACCATCATCAGAGGTTGTAGATGTTTGTCAGTCAATCAGGTTTTTTTTCTCTTCTTTCTTTTTTACATTCTATAATTTTTAAACTTTTTATATATAAATGTACTCTAAAACAAAATGATTATCCTTATTGCAAAATTTTGTAACTGAGGTTATTTATATTTTGATAAGAATGAATGCAAGTTAGAGAAATTTGTATCTTAATTTAAAATTTATTTTACACTGTATATTAATTAGCTTAATTTGTATATTTCCTGGTGCATTACTGAATTTGTTTTTAATGGTAATGTCCATAATGCACAACCTGATTCCAAATCATTTTCTTCAAATTCTTGTCATAATAATATTGTTTTTCTCGCATATTCTTGAAATCTTTCATTTGAAATAATATGCCAAAAAACACAGATAAATCACAGGCATGTGGCTAGCCATATACACTCATGTTCATAAATTAAGGATAATGCAAAATCAGGCAAAGGAAGAGTTAGAAGCAAAACAAATTTGACTTATTTGTAAAGCTTATTTATTAAACAAAAGGTAAAGAGTAAAAAAAAGATGCTATATGTTTGATATTATTAAAAAAATTAACGATTTTTTTCTCCCTGGAGCAAATTACAAAAAAAAAAAAAAACCTATTTACAAAAAACCAATATTACATGGTTGGTATG